TTTTTTCTATCGCTTTTTTCTGTTGTGATGTTGTTGTACTAGTGGATTTTTAGAATCCTATTTATAGGTTGGTTGAGAATATCGATCGCTTCAACGACAACAATGAAGTGTTCATCGATCATGATCCAAAGCATTTCCCAATGGTGTTGAATTTTCTTCGTGATGGACGGATTCCATTGCCAGATACCGTTGCTGAAATCGATCAATTACTTCGGGAAGCGCAGGTAAGCAAGCTGTCTCCAAGTTCACACTAAGACAATATGGCTATAGTTGCGGATATTCTATTTTATTTGATAAAAGGTTGCCATCGTTCTTGGATACGATCATTTGTTCATTTTGAGAAAATGTTCTAGGAGCCTGGAGCGATATTACACAGCTTAGACTATTTTTCTTGATTTCCACCTCATGCTATCGCCCTCTACATTCGAGTAGGTTTGGTAGTACAAGCGATTTTGATAAAGAAAATCGATAGCGGATATCAATACCTTCCAGACTGTCATAAACTTAATTAGTTTTTGCAAAAGAAGGTATGACTGTGCTTCCATGCTGGAGAATTCTAGAATATTGATCCCTACAGATGCCTTAATAGATGAGTTTATATTTTCAGTATTTTGAAATACCTGCGTTGACCGATTTCATCGAGAGCGAAGAACAACGTGGACCGCCATTTTTTCGAGGTGATAAGGTCGTTTGGAAGTGGGTTGTTTTTTTTTTGGAGAAGTATCGTATAAGACGTTGATTACATCGTTATGTTTGGGATGCGCTATACATACATCTGATTGTGTGTCTCTTTCCTACGCACTATTAGAGGCTGCCCTTGGTTTTATGATTGTTGTGGTAAAAGTGAACGTCGTGTTTTTGGAGCACAGAAGCCGTCCATCGGGAAGGAGAAAGTTTGTTTTTCTCTGGAGCGGAAAATGTTGAAGGAACTTCAAATCTCTAATCATTTTGATCCTTTCTTTCTTCCTATTCCGGGAATCGGAATGCGGAATTGGCTTGCTTCAAGTCCACATAGCCTTTGTTATGTGATGTCAAGCTCCGTGAGAACCCCCAAGCGTATCCCAAAAGAACCACGACCCAAACAACTTGGTGAATAGAAAAAATACTACGCAGTGAAAATCTAAAAGAAGATTCTAGAGACCAGAATTTTCAAAGAGCGCTTGCAAAAGTCGGCTGGCGTTTCGATGGCAGCACGAGCGACTCGTTGAAACCCCTTTGTTTCATGCCTAGATCAGGTGAGTTCTCAGCTTTATTCTTTGTTTAATTCACATATGGTAGGGGACCTATTTTCTCGAATATTTGCTCATTTCCCTTTTGATGGGGTCCCTGGAAGTCTGCCCAACATGTCTCGGTAAATGATAATCTTTTCATAAACAGATGAAATACGCACTTGCGCTACCTGCGGTGTGACTACGGACTCATTCGACAGGAATTACCGTACGATTTTCGAACTTCCACGGAATGCTACATTTGCTGTCGGTGAAGTGAGAAAGGTCAGTGCTAACGTACAGGATATTGATTTGACAGTTTTACTATGTATGGATGCGATTCGGTGATGTATTAGTCCGTTTCTACAGTGACATACCGTATTCGGAAAAAGTGAAAGAAAGATGCTACACAGCA